TGCCGGGGTGCGGCGGCGAGCAGCGCTGTCCCTCCTTCAGAGAAATGCCTGCTGTCCCTGGGGCGGGGGGATCGGGCTCCAACAGGCACGGCTGGAAAGGACTGTCAAAGCGTGCCTTTTTCCAGGGTTGGACTCCCCCTAGGGTTTTTAGGGTAGGAGATGTTGCCTCCCAGGCAGGGCACGGTAGCACGGTTCCTCTGCCCCACTGCTCTGGGAGGGGTGTCAGGTCCTACCCGTGTGCCAGTCTGTGCTGTGCTCCCCCAGAGAGCTGGGCCTGTGGTGGGGTGCCTGCTCTAGGCCAGCTCCTGCCTGCCTGACATCTCTTCCTTTCATTCCTGCCTGTTGCCCAGCTGGGTGAAGGCTCCAGCAGTAGCCCAAATGAACTGGGTTCGTACCCAGGGCTTCGGGAGACACTGGCAGGCCGGGTGCCTGCCTGTAGGGCAGCTGAGGTGATGTCTGCAAAGCAGCAGCGGAGCAGATCGAGCGGCCCAGGGGAAAAAACCTGCATCCCATCCACATAACAGGATCCTGAAGAGGATGTCCATGGTTTTCTCAGTCTTTACCTGATGGCTAAGGTTGGTTTGATGTGGAGAAGTATGGTCATGGTGGTGAGGAGGAAGAACATCTCCAGTCAGGAAATTAGGACCTCAGGACATGATGAACTCAGCGTTAAGAGTCTCAGTAGCAAATTTCCATTTTCTCACCTCTCAGGTTTGGGGGAACTGTAAAGAAGGTGGCGTTGAGAGAGCTCCTCTTGCAATTTGCAGTCTTTAATGACTTTATTGGCCAAGCCTGGGTCATGGCTCTGTTGCTGTTGGATCACCTCTCCCTCCTAACTGGTGTCAGTATTTTGGGTCATTCAAGAAAGACTTTATTGAATTGTGAGAATTTTTGGAAACTGAGATACTACAAATTCACCAGATGGAGGTATTTTGCTGCTAAAATCTTTCCAGATCTTGTTATTTTGAGCTGGCCCAAGTATAGGACACTATGCTATCAGTCCAGCAAGACGCTCTACTAGGAACCCTTTCTCTGGGTTAACAAGTTCTTCTCAGAGAAGCATTAAGGTATACATTTCTCCCTCTCTTTGGGCTCCCTGGTGTGCAAGTTGCTAAGGTCTTAACCCCTCCTGCTCCATGTGTCACTAAGGAAAGACAATTAGTCAGAAGAATCACCAACATGCCAATGATAGGCAGCTCCACAGCTGCCTCTCGATTTCAAGTTCACACATTTCTTCTGTTATTGTAACTGGTAGTCATGGGAGTCTGCCCTAACCCTACTCCTGCCAAATCATTTATACTTGCAGCTCAGAAGTTAGACCAATTGCTGTTCTTAATTCCAGACAGAGCTGAAAAAACAGGGCTGTTCAGACATTTATAAGTAAGTGGACGGGAGCCAAAGCCTTGGACGCAGGCATAAGTATCAGGCAGAGGCTCGAGCAAAAGCTGGTCCCAAAGCACTAAGAATGGACTTTGATCTCGATCTACATATTGCACCGCTACAGACTGTTGTGACCTGTCTTTTAGCTGGTATACAAAGGTCCAGTTTCTCCATCGCGCCACAGTGTGTTTGCAGTGGTGTACTATCACTCTGCTGCTTTCAGTGGATTTCTTCTGAGTATATCTCAGCGTGGGTACAATTAAATCTGACCTAGAAGTTCAGCTTCATCACTCAAACCTGAGATGCTGGCACAAGCCCAGTTCTATCAATAAACAGCAGTTTATGAGAGCTGGAAACGTTGGTTGCATCAAAGAAATCCTTTGAGGTATTCACATTTATAATAATCTCAGGATAAAAAAGGTGACAGCAACTGTAACTTGAAGAGTCATCACTGCCTGCACAGAAGCTTTGTTTCCAAGTTTGGTGCTAATAAGTCTCAGTATCGGGTCTTACTTACAATTTTAAAAAGCTTCCTTGGGGAGATTTGAAATGCATGACAGCTCCGATACTTGCTTAAAGCTGCATATTAATGAGCTGGAGTCTGTTGGGGGACAGGGAGGAAATTGAAGGCATTTATAGTAATAGTGACAAAGAATTAATTGTAAAGATAGAAACAGCTAATTATTAAGAACCACAAATAAAATCACCAGAACTTTTCCAGGTTGATATATTTGTTCTCCAAAACCTTTCCAGTTCTTGTTCTCATCCCCTTGCCACAGGCTTGTTTCAGCAAAAAACGTTGTTAAGAGCACATTAAGTCCCTTATCCTTTTGTATAGCACACATATCAGCAGAAACACACATATCCACAGCCCGAGTATTCTGCAGGATTTAGGAGTTCATGCAGTACAGGAGGAAATCAGCTGTATAGACTGCATTTGTACTTCTGATGTTGTAGGTAATGCTCCTTCTATAGTATCTGGGATATACTATGCTTCTGGAGTGTGGTTTTCTACTTGCGCTTGACAATTGTTGAGTGTGATATCATGGAGAATTAAGACCGGGCATTTCCACTGTATGAGCCAGCTTCTGAGGTATTTGCTGTAGCACAATTTCTAAATCACTCCTCAGATTTACCTTGTGTGTCAGCACACAAAAGAAAACACCGACACTTGAAAATATATACTTCTCATGCACTGCTACAGTCCCTAGTTCTGGGTGGTGTAACACGGACAGGGGACACTCTAAGTGGTCCTCATTACAGCTTCTACTTCTTGCTGTTACCAGCAGATCTGCGTCAGTACACTTTAAATACACTTCTCCCTACTCCATGCAACAGCAGAGTTTTCTTGTCAGCCTGACAGGGGTATGTCTCCCCGTTTGCTTAGCTTAGGCCTTTTGCCTCAGGGCCATTGTGTAGGTGTTTCGCCTGTACTTCCCTTGCTTCACTTGACTCCTTGAATCTCTCCCTAATATAAAAGTAAGCCATTTGTGTTCAAATTTGGACAGAGTCTCATTCTGTTGCAAACCAATTGCCTTTAAATTCCACCCTTGCCCAATACCAAAAGCAAACTATTTTCCATGAAGGGCTGTCTATTTGGATTTATTTTGAAAGGAAAATTTTTCTGTATCTCAAATGTAAAATATTTCATAGATTTTCTAGAAACTGCTTTCATAGTTCTGCCACGCAGCACTGTCCACTTTCATAAATCTTTATGTTCTCAGTAAAAATCAATGCCTAATTATTAATACAATATTGCTATGTGTTTCATAAGTAATAAAGGATGCTGTGTCATCCACATACATATACTCCCAGAGCAGAGTTGCATGGAGAAGTTTACAGTCATTTTATGCAGCGGGATGCATTGTAATGACAAGTCTGCAGCCAACTGCAGTTAAATTCATAAATTCAAATACTGAAATTTGATAGAATCCCATTTTCTGTTACTTGGGCACAATGAGCATTCATTGCAACTCCAGCACTAAAGACAAGCCTCAAAAATGGAACAAAGCGGGAGTACCTGTGAATCCAAAAGCGCCAAGCCCGAGCAATGCAGGTTTTACACAGAACAGCAACAGAGCAAGAAAATATTGGAGTAACAACAGCCAGAGTCATGGGCTTGGAACGAGAAAGATGCGAGCTGCTTCTTGTCTAGAAACCCTGGTTGCCTCTGAAAGCACATGGAAAAGCCATTGACTGCTTGCTATGCCGGGCTTGGTGGAGCCACATCTGGGGTAATGCCACAGCAGCACCTGGCATCTGTGGGGTTGCGACAGAAGCCCCCCAGGAAAGTCTCTGTGGGCTGCCTCGGCCAGTGGAGCCATGCTGGGGGCGCCCGTGGCAGTCTGAACTGCTAGGACCTATCTCTGGCACACTGCTAGTGATCCTCCCCATGTGCAGGGACACCAGTTGGAGATACTAGAGGGCAAAGGATTCCTTTTAAACATCCTTCAAAGACTCTCCTAACTACCTCAGGGGCTGAGGAAAAATGTGTCTTCTGAAAGAATTATTCTCAGTAATCTTCTTTGGAGAGAAGAGGGGCAAAGATGGTATTAACAAATAACGGCATTAACAGGAGGAATATAGGCCAGCATGTGCCAAAGTTAGAAAACAGGCAAAGTGGCTGCTGGAGGGTAGCAAGCACAAAGCCAGAGCGCGTGCCTGCCTCACCCTCAGAGCTGGGGACACAGGCAAGCGGTGCAGAGGGCGTGGAAGGGGGTAAGCGGAGATAACATAGCGAAGTGAACAGGCAGCGCGGAGAAACAAACAGTAAAGCAATTATATAATCACATTTTTATGCTGCATGCTTTCTTGTTGCAGGAGTAATTTATAGCAGTACAGATCAACAACAGAGCTGGCATCCCAGGCGCTAATCTGTCACAGTCCTGAATGTGTAAATGCCTTAAATGAAACACTATATAAAACGCAGTAGGCATTTCTTTTCTGCCCCTCAGCTCACCTGAGGTGAACTAATTCAACTCAGTCCTCAAACAACAGAGAATTACATTCATGATAAGCTGCGTCAGAAGTCTTATCCCAGCATGTTCCTGAGATTTTTGCAATGGGAGGCACTCCAGATCTTTGAGCATCTGTTTCATCTGAAACTCTTTTTCAACTCCTTTTCAAATGTTTGATACATTTCTTTCATCATCAAGTTTTGGGTTAAAAGTGAACCTTGCAGCATGCAGATTTTCAAAAATTTTAATGCTCTCTTTTTCTCTTTGCTGTACATCATTCCATGCTGATTGTATTCTTTATAAAGAAACTGCAGAGGGCTGATGACTGACTTATCTGCCTGCCATTTCCCTCATACCTCTTTGTTACCTGCCTCTAGTTTGTCATTGCCTTGAAAATCACAGTTTGGTCCCTGTATCCCTTTCTTCAGCAGCTCGCTGGCAGCTGGGGAGGCAGCGCCATGGCTAGACCTGGCACCTCCCATGGATGCAGGTCAGTGGCCAAGAAAGGTATAAGGCTGCTCTCTTTGTCCTTTCCTGTCTACCAAAATGAGTTTTCCTCCAGCTTATTCATGCTCTCCTGCTCTGACTAGCCAAATCACCCACCAAGGGAGTCCAGGAGGATTCATGACGGGGCCCAGATGACTGCAGTTTTTGTGTCTGTCTGTCAAGGGATGTTCAGACTTGGCAGCACAGCTCTGGAGCACTCAGAGCAAGGGATAAGTAAGGCACACTGGTTCCTAGAGAGACACTAAGGCCAGTGCTCCAGAGCATGGTTTGCTGTGCACAGGAACTTCTTTCAGGTTTAAACAAATGAGCAGTGCTGTCACTGAGCACAGAAGTCAGCGTGAGGGAGATGACTCCAACAACCTGTTTGTATGCCCAGGCAGGCCTGGGTAAAGTATTGCTGCATGGTTTCAGGGCAGCCATACTCACAGCTTTAGGAGAGGAGAGTCTCCGTCTGTCCCCTCAAGCTGTGCTCTGTCCCTAGAAGCAACACAAGCAAGGGGCAGCTGTGCTCAGCAGCATGTCCCCACCCACTGCCTTAATGATGTGGCTCTTTTCTAAACCATAACTCTCCTGTCAAATGCCATGACAGAGGGAAAACAATCCCATACCTTGGTAGCTAGCAACAAAACCAGTTTCAGAGGTGGGCCAGCAGCAATGGATGGGCATTTCTTCCTGCTGCTGGAAAGCTTTGGCAGAGTGGAATGCATTACTCTGTGTTACCAAGTTCAGCAGAACTGGGTTCTTCGATTCTTTAGAGAGGGCTTGTCTGCTTGTGAAAGTTTTACCAATTTAACATAAATGGAAGTTTAAATCGCCTTAATGAAATCAGCGTGACCTTCTTGGATGATTATTTGTTCGGATTTAAAGCTCCTTTTACGGGTTACACCCATTTAGCTTTTACCCATGTGAGCAGGTACAAGTTGAACTGGAGAGAGACAGCTTTAAGCTGGTAGCAATGTTCAGACATAAAGCCGCATCAGTTTGACAAAGCCAATTTAATGTAACAGCCATAACTGCACCGTAGAAAGATGAATACTTTGCAAACAACTGTGCTGGTGGAGGAGGAGGTTAGCACGCTTAGTCTGCCCCGAATGATCCTCACTGCCTCTTTTCCAGAGGTTTCCCTCTCTTCAGAGCCATCAGGATATCTCTTTATGCATAGACAAGGCTTCAGAGTATTTATAATTGCTTGCATTTTAATTTGGTTGTTTAGCCTTGTGCATATTAAAGAAATATTCACCCATGTAATTAGCCTTACTGAGTATTTTAACCCGTGCTAGCCTCACCACTGTATTCATTGTGCGATGTCTAATTCGCAATGATGTAATGACACCAATTTACAGTAATTAATTTGGCCCAAATCTCCTAGCACAGGCAGGGTGAGAGTCTGGAAAGTGGTTGATGCTGTAGGAGAGTCACACTGCCATTCTGTGACCAAGGAGTTTTGGTTGGACAACAGTCAAGTATTCGGTCTGAAAATGCTATGTGCTGCAGTGACAGCTAAGGCTGGTCCTGTCTGAAACTATGGGCCAATATTCTGGGGTGAACATTGCTAGGTGAGGGCCCTTGTTAGTAATCTTAATGTTCACTGAGAAGCCATGAGTTATTTCTCTAATGAGATTGCAAACTGAAACAGGCCTTTGGTCGAAAAGAGCTGGAATCTGCACCCTGGAGCTGGGAAATCTCTGTTTGCAAACATGTATGGGACACCATCCTGCGCTGCTGGGAGCAGCCAGGGCTTCATCAGTCGCTAACAGGCACAGAGCAGGGCTGGAGAGGCAGCCTGAGGAGAGGATGCCTTTTGGATCCCGAAGGCTTGGGTGATTTTGTATAGATCTGCGTTCTTGTTGGCAGTGGGAGGCTGGTGTTCACTCCCGCGTTATTTACACTTTAGTCTGTATGACAATGGTGTCTTTGCTAGGTGGAGGAGACACTGCAAGCCTGGGAGGCATGTTCTTTTAAGGTAGTTTACATACAAATAAATAAACAAACCAGCACCAGTGAGTGGAAGGTCTCAAGAGAAACCAAGTGTTTCTGTAGCATGCTAGGCCTGTTTAAAACAGAAAAGGAAGAATATAGTGATTCCGACTTTTTTTTCTAGGAAAAGCTGCACTCTGCCTCAGGGTGGTGATGAGAGTTGATGTAAGGATCACCCTCTAGAGACGAATGTGTGTAAGGTTGTATCACTCAGAGAATCTTCATCTTATTTGGGCTTCAAGTTGATGTATTTATCACAGAGAAAACATTTTCATTGCCAAAAAGTAGGGAGAAAGCCCCAGAGGGATCAGAAAGAGTATTGCCAGAATTTCTGAAATTGAAACTGTCCTATTACATGGCACACAGCTGCGAAGTTGCAGTCAGAAAATCTGTATGGAGATACAGCCTATTCTGTCAGACACCCACCCTGTTCCCACTTGAAAAGGTTGATGCCTCAGGAAACTGATTCTCAGAATTACCTGGAAAGCAAACATCTTTGACTGACAAATATAGATGACTGACTGAACTTTTTTTTCGTGTATGTCAGGTTTGTCCAGTTGTTCACATTCTTTCATATGCTTGACTGGAACAAATTTTATTAGACTTCAAAAGGAAGGTTGTAACCTTTTCAGGAAGTGTTTTGGGAAGCTGCTCATATGCTAACTAATCACTGGGGGGTCCATGTGAGTCTAAGAGGCTTTATTGAATGAGACTGACAAACCAGGAAGAAAGAATTGCTACATATAACTCAAGTCAATCTGGAAAAGACTGGGTAGCTAGGGCCATATGGCAAGTTCAGAATTACTATTTGCCATATGAATAACAATGTACAAATAATTACAATAAAATGAAGGCTACAAGCTTGTAAGCTTCTCCGGGGAAGGTCCTGACGACATTCAGGAGTCTGGCAAAGGGTGGGTGTGTATGTTTTTTGTGCATCTCTGTGTTTACCATTTTCTGTGTTGAAAGAAAAACACCTATGTCTCCTCCTAAGATGAACTGTTTATTATAAAGCCTACCTACCTGCCTAGACACCTGTTGCTCCTTTTGATTAGAGCGTACTAATGAAATGAAACTGGGGTTAATTAGGCATTAGAGTTGCATTCAGACTTACTAAGGAGATAGTAAAACTTCAAGTGAAACAAGAAATCATTACAGATACTTACAGTAGTTATTTTACATGTCTCTTAATTATAAGCATTACTAGTAATGGTTCTGTAATCCAATCTTGAATAATGGTCAATTCACATTCCTTTGAGCAAACAGGCCAAGGAGGTGTTTTTAATGGATTACATAAATGAGGTTCATTTGCTACCTAAACCCAACATCCTGTATATTCAAGATTGCTCTCCAGGCTTTAGCCACATGGAATACTGGTAACAGCAGTCCTTAAAACTCAAGAACCTTACAGCTCTTGTCTTCATAAATGAGGATAGCTTGCATACATCACAACTGCAAAGGCTCTTTTTTTTTTCACGGAGCACAAGACTAATCCTGAAATTCTTCTGCATGCCTTCTTCAAGCAGGTAAGAAGTTCCTTGCTTTTAAATAGGGCCTGCATTTTCTTATTCATGATACCTGCAAGTGGTTGGTGCCAGGATGTGGCATCTTAATGAGACTTGTTTGCTGGTGCACTTTGACATCACACATGTTGCAAGAAAGGGCCCAGGCTACCTCTCTTCCTTCTCAGGCCCAACTTCTTTTTAGGGTCTTGAAGATGTCAGTAAGGGTAATAAATATAAAGAATCTGTCTTAATGAGCTCTGCTTACAAGGAAGTAACTTCCTTTGACCCATTGACTAGATTGGCAAGCACAGACCACGCAGGAAAGTGGAACATGGAGCCCCAGTTAATGAGTAATTGAAGGACTGTTCTACAAAAATGGAAACCATTTCTAATCTGTGAATGTAGCAGTACATGGCGGATCTACAGATTTCTGTAATTAGCAGGCATCCAAAATATGCTGTTGACACCACCAGAACCCCTGGAGAATGAGGCATTCTCTCCAGGAGGAGGAAGATGGCAGTCAAAGTATGCTCTTGAATTTCAACTTTTGACCCATCCAAGTACCACTGAAGAAGGCACAGCTCGCACCCTGAACTCTCAGTGCAGGAAATAATGATGTCCTTCGGAAGCACCGGTGTGAGGACAGGTAGGAGAAGACGAGAGAGCAGTTTAACACTGTTCCCCTAACAGCACGTCTGGCACATTCCAGGAATCAAGACAGGCAAAGACAACTCAAAGGAAGTACTAAGGGTTGCAGTTTTTAGAGGTGTGAGAGACAATGAGAGATAGCTACACAATACCATGAAATTGGGCTGGTTAACCAAGATCCCCTAGTTTGCCTCTGGTACAGCTTTTGTTTCCAGTAAACTAGTCTAGCAAGGCACAGACTTTACAACAACCCATTAGGTTAGGCTCCAAGCTAAATGCCTTGTGGTTCCCGTAATTTGCACTTGGGCACATTGATGTTGGTTAGAGATACAACAACCAAAGTGGTGTAGGTACTCTTCCTCTATTCCATAATATCCCTTCATCAACAGACTAATTCTGCATTCAACAGCACAAGCATTAATGGGCCAGAAAGTACTTACTTGTACAAATTATACTCTACGTGTACTCAGCTATACCCAGTTTCCAGAGAGACCAATTTCTTCTCAACATGATTGTTGAGTAGGCCACTATATGGGGACATAACCAGCTGACTTCAGATTTATATGAAAATAGCGTCTGTGGTGGGAATGCAGAAGCTTGCTGAATATAATTGCGTTAATTGTGAGCCCCTCTGAGGAATACCTGGGAGATGGGAATTTAGAAACCCCTTCCTGGCATCTCCAGAGGTACCTCTGTTGATCTGTATGAGGTACATACCCTCAGTATGAGGGTCAAGGATGGTGAAAAACACTGTACTGTCTCAGCGAGATGGACCCTTCATGGACAGTAAAGCTGGCCCCATATGGAGCGTTGTGGTAGATTAATGATGATGTTATTTTTAACAT